ATCCATGGGTTGGTCAATGGGTCAGTCAATGGGTCATTGGGTCAATCCATGGGTTGGTCAATGGGTCATTGGGTCAATCCATGGGTTGGTCAATGGGTCAGTCAATGGGTCATTGGGTCAATCCATGGGTTGGTCAATGGGTCAGTCCATGGGTCATTGGGTCAATCCATGGGTCGGTCAATGGGTTGGTCAATGGGTTGGTCAATGGGTTAATCTATGGGTCGGTCAATGGGTTAATCCATGGGTTGGTCAATGGGTCAGTCAATGGGTTGGTCAATGGTTAATCCATGGGTCATTGGGTCAATCCATGGCTTGGTCAATGGGTTGGTCAATGGGTCAATCCATGGGTCATTGGGTCAATCCATGGGTCGGTCAATGGGTCAGTCAATGGGTTGGTCAATGGGTTGGTCAATGGGTCAATCCATGGGTCATTGGGTCAATCCATGGGTTGGTCAATGGGTCAGTCCATGGGTTGGTCAATGGGTCAATCCATGAGTCATTGGGTCAATCCATGGGTTGGTCAATGGGTTGGTCAATGGGTCGGTCCATGGTTAATCCATGGGTCAGTCCATGGGTCATTGGGTCAGTCCAAGGGTCAGTCCATGGGTCAGTCCATGGTCACTCCATGGGTCGGTCAATGGGTCACTCCATGGTTAATCCAAGGGTCATTGGGTCACTCCATGGTCACTCCGTGGTCACTCCGTGGTCACTCAGTGGTCACTCCATGGGTCACTCCATGGTCACTCCTTGGTCACTCAGTGGTCACTGTGGTCACTGTGGTGACTCCGTGGTCACTGTGTGGTCACTGTGTGGTCACTCAGCGGTCACTCCATGGTCACTCCATAGTCACTCAGTGGTCAATGTGGTCACTCTGATCACTCCATGGTCACTCCGTGGTCACTCCGTGGTCACTCTGTGGTCACTCTGATCACTCCGTGGTCACTCAGTGGTCACTCCGTGGTCACTCAGTGGTCACTCAGTGGTCACTCCGTGGTCACTGTGGTCACTCTCTGATCACTCCATGGTCACTCCGTGGTCACTCCGTGGTCACTCAGCGGTCACTCAGTGGTCACTGTGGTCACTCTGTGGTCACTCAGTGGTCACTGTGGTCACTCAGCGGTCACTGTGGTCACTCAGTGGTCAGTGGTCACTCTGTGGTCACTCAGTGGTCACTGTGGTCACTCAGCGGTCACTGTGGTCACTCAGTGGTCAGTGGTCACTCTGTGGTCACTCAGTGGTCACTGTGGTCACTCAGTGGTCACTCCGTGGTCAGTTCTGTGGTCACTCAGTGGTCACTGTGGTCACTCAGCGGTCACTGTGGTCACTCCGTGGTCACTCTGTGGTCACTCCGTGGTCACTCTGTGGTCACTCAGCGGTCACTGTGGTCACTCAGCGGTCACTGTGGTCACTCCGTGGTCACTCTGTGGTCACTCAGCAGTCACTCTGTGGTCACTCTGTGGTCACTGTGGTCACTCTCTGATCACTCTATGGTCACTCAGTGGTCAGTGGTCACTCAGTGGTCACTATGGTCACTGTGGTCACTCAGCGGTCACTGTGGTTACTCTGTGGTCACTCAGTGGTCAGTGGTCACTCAGTGGTCACTCAGTGGTCACTCCATGGTCACTCAGTGGTCAGTGGTCACTCAGTGGTCACTCTCTGATCACTCCGTGTCACTCCGTGGTCACTCAGCGGTCACTGTGGTCACTGTGGTCACTCAGTGGTCACTCCATGGTCACTCAGTGGTCACTCCGTGGTCACTCAGTGGTCACTCAGTGGTCACTCAGTGGTCAGTGGTCACTCAGCGGTCACTGTGGTCACTCCGTGGTCACTCCATGGTCACTCCGTGGTCACTCCGTGGTCACTCAGTGGTCACTGTGGTCACTCAGTGGGCACTGTGGTCACTCCGTGGTCACTCTGTGGTCACTATGGTCACTGTGGTCACTCAGTGGTCAGTGGTCACACAGCGGTCACTGTGGTCACTCCGTGGTCACTCCGTGGTCACTCCATGGTCACTCAGTGGTCACTCCATGGTCACTCAGTGGTCACTCCGTGGTCACTGTGGTCACTGTGGTCACTCTCTGATCACTCCATGGTCACTCCATGGGTCACTCCATGATCAGTCTATAGGTCAGGTGGTCACTCAGTGGTCACTCTGTGGTCACTCTGTGGTCACTGTGGTCACTCTCTGATCACTCCGTGGTCACTCAGTGGTCAGTGGTCACTCAGTGGTCACTGTGGTCACTCAGTGGTCACTCAGTGGTCAGTGGTCACTCAGTGGTCACTCAGTGGTCACTCCGTGGTCACTCCGCGGTCACCGATCACTCCATGGGTCACTCAGTGGTCAGTGGTCACTCCGTGGTCACTCAGTGATCACTATGGTCACTGTGGTCACTCCGTGGTCACTCCGTGGTCACTCTGTGGTCACTCCGTGGTCACTCAGTGGTCACTCCGTGGTCACTCCATGGGTCACTCAGTGGTTACTCCGCGGTCACTGTGGTCACTCTCTGATCACTCTATGGTCACTCCATGGTCACTCCGTGGTCACTCAGTAGTCACTGTGTGGTCACTCAGTGGTCACTGTGTGGTCACTCCGTGGTCAGTCCGTAGTCACTCTGTGGTCACTCTGTGGTCACTGTGGTCACTCAGTGGTCACTCCACGGTCACTGTAGTCACTCAGTGGTCACTCTGATCACTCCATGGTCACTCAGTGGGTCACTGTGTGGTCACTCAGTGGTCACTCCATGGTCACTCTCTGATCACTATGGTCACTCCATGGTCACTCAGTGGTCACTCAGTGGTCAGTGGTCACTCAGTGGTCACTCTGTGGTCACTCAGTGGTCACTCAGTGGTCACTCTGTGGTCACTCAGTGGTCACTCCGTGGTCACTCAGTGGTCACTCAGTGGTCACTCCGTGGTCACTCAGCGGTCCCTGTGGTCACTCCGCAGGAAGATCCAGGAGGAGTCCCTCCGCACTTACCTGTTCACCTACAGCAGCGTCTACGACTCCATCAGGTACCGAGGGGCGTGGCCGGGGGGGCGTGGCCACGCCCAGGTGAGGTGGGCGTGGCCCCTCTGACCACGCCCACCCTCCCTCATTAGCATGGGCGGCCATATTTGATTTCCAGCAACTTACGTGGGAGGGGTTGGGGGTGGGCGTGGCTGCTCCCAGGTGAGCTGGGCGTGGCCCAGGTGAGATGGGCGTGGCCTTTCTGACCACGCCCACCCTCCCTCATTAGCATAGGCGGCCATGTTTGATTTTCAGCCACTTACCTGGGCAGGGTTGGGGGTGGGCGTGGCTATACCCAGGTGAGCTGGGCGTGGCCCAGGTGAGCTGGGCGTGGCCCCTCTGACCACACCCACCCTCCCTCCTTAGCATAGGCGGCCATGTTTGACTTCCACCCGCTTACCTGGGCGGGGTTGGGGGTGGGCGTGGCCGCTCTCTAGTGAACTGGGCGTGGCCCAGGTGAGGTGGGCGTGGCCGCAGTGACCCCGCCCACTCTCTCTCATTAGCATAGACGGCCATGTTTGACTTTCAGCCACTTACCTGGGCGGGGTTGGGGGTGGGCGTGGCTGTTCTCAGGTAAACTGGGCGTGGCCCAGGTGTGCTGGGTGTGGCTCCTCTGACCCCGCCCACCCTCCCTCATTAGCATAGGCGGCCATGTTTGACTTCCACCCGCTTACCTGGGCGGGGTTGGGGGTGGGTGTGGCTGTACCCAGGTGAGCTGGGTGTGGCCCAGGTGAAATGGGCGTGGCCGCAGTGACCACGCCCACCCTCCCTCCTTAGCATAGGCGGCCATGTTTGATTTTCAGCTGCTCACCTGGGCGGGGCTGGGAGTGGGTGTGGCTGTATCCAGGTGAGCTGGGCGTGGCCCAGGTGAGCTGGGCATGGCCGTAGTGACCCCGCCCACCCTCCCTCCTCAGCATGGAGACGCTGGCGGCCATGTTTGAGCTGGACCTGCCCACGGTGCACGGCATCATCAGCAAGATGATCATCGGGGAGGAGCTTATGGTGAGGGGGGGCGGGGCCTGAGGGGGGGCGTGGTCGG